ACCTTGGGGGGGAGGCAAAATTTTTATGAATTTCGAATGCGAGCGCCGTACGCGCGAGGAAAATTTTGAATTTCTAGATTCATTAGAACGCTATTTCACGTATTTTAGGACGAGGTTTGAAGAAAAGTTACAACCACAAATTACAAATAGGCATTTTTAAGTCGCCTTTGTACACGCAAATACAACAGCAAAATACCATCATGTCTTCGTTTTTGTAGAAGTCGGTCATGAGTGTTGCTTTGAGCGCAAATTCAAGTTCAAATGTGCTTTAAAGCAACCATAGGCATTTTTTACTGGAGTTAGGATTCTAGGTAGGGGAGACTTCAACTTTTATTGGCAAACAGAAGAGATGGGTATCATTATTCACACATCGTACCCCACCCCAATTTCTGCCCGGATTTCAGCTTTCCACAAGGGCAGTCCTTAGCTCCATTACAGAGCCCCCCGAGCCGCCATCTTGGCTACGCCGCTGACTTACTTCTGCCTTCCAAAGTTTCAGCTTTTACGACAAGACTAACAATACACATTTTAACTGCATCGCGGGGGCTCGAGGTAATCGGATCGCATTATGTTGGCTGAACTGTTGCAACACGGAAGTTGCATGATTAGTTGCTCTCTTGGTTTGTGTCAGTGAACTCTAATTTGTGTATGTCTAATTCGTTTTTCTTTGTCTAATTCGTCTTTCTTATGTTTATGCAACTTCCATTTCCAGAATGTCCACCTATTACTTTTTTCGACACAAAATGATAATATCTTCCAGATTTTAGCCGGACCGATTTTTTCGTCCCATTCAGGTTTTGGGAACCGACTTTTTAGATCGATATATTTCACAAAACATTGGGGTGTCACCCCTCCCCCCCAACCCCAACCCCCTCCCCCATAATGTACGCCCCTGGCTACAGATGGCAGTGTGACTTATCAGAAATAAAATCTTAATATATAGGTTCCGATCTGACGCGTCTAATTTCAGTGAAGATAAGAATCTCTCCACAAACATCTGATTTTTGAGACCCTAGCCTTCAATGATGCCTAATGGCAACATTACTTTCAGGATTTTATAGTAATAATTTGGAGTTCATAATGAATTTGTCTTGTGTTTTTCAGATATTAACGAATGTACACTCGGTACTCACGACTGTCATGCTAATCCAAGTGAAGCAACATGTACAAACACACTTGGATCATTCACGTGCGCGTGTAATACTGGTTACACTGGGGACGGTAAAACGTGTACAGGTTTGTACGAGAGTTGTTGCCTCTAAGGTCGCTGCATCTTCCAAATTAGTTAACATTATAGTGAGGTGGGTAGTGGGTACTGTAAAGATTGTGCACATAGTGATACAAGCATTAAAATATTATACATAGTTTCATTTTGCAAGCAAATTGAATGATTTCCAGGATACAGATGCCCGTCGACTGTTTCAGTCACTGCACAGATTATAAAGTATATACCAGATGCATAACTTAATAGAGCTTCGTTTCCTCAAATTCCCCTCGATGTACACGTCATGCTCACGCCATGACATTTGCTAAGAAAATAGCGAGCTTAAGCAAGCAACGTTTTTGACAACACGAACGACATGAGTAACGTTAAAAGACTGGGTCAAGAATGTTGATTGTTGATAACGTCAAATTTGCTTCCGGTCAACGTTCGTGTTGTCAAAAACATCGCTTGCTTAAGCTCGCTAATGGTGCCCAGAAAAAC